CAACTGCCTTCTCTCTTCCTTACTTTATGTCTCTGAGCCTCCACAGGAGCATTTAAAAAATTAAATGTCTCAGTAGCAGCAGATAAAGTGAAACCTTTTCTATTAACAAAATTTCCATGAAAGTTGAGGTTCTCTGGATGTATGTGTTGTGAATAAATATAGGTATCCACAAACTTAATTTTATTATGTGTATTACTTAGGGTCTGTAGGCATACTGCTGATTTCTTTCCATGCAGATCAAGTAACTTTTGATTAAACTTTGACTGCTGGAAGACAATTAGTATAAGAAAATAGTCTATAAAAGTTAATGTTTCTGAAGAGCCTTCAATGGGACTTCTATCCACACTCTCTGTCTTGGTTGTCCCCTTAAGGTCAGGCCTTAGTCCCTGCCTGAGCTATGCCTAGCTATGTCTAGCTCCAGTTCTGTCCCTGGCCCTGTCTCCTAGAGAGACTTTGGAGCCACCTTGCCTCCAGCCCTTTCTCTGACCTTGTCTTTTTGGACCCTGACTGGACTCTCTGGATGGACTCTAAACCTTTGCCTTGTTGATGGAGCCTATTGCTAGGATCCTGCTCTGCTTGCTGTATTCAGACCCTGTGGGACTGAACTTTGTTGGTAAGGACAATGCTTGTGCTGGGGTTATCCTTGGCTCCCATCTCTGGATGGGAGTTGTCTGCTGGAGTTATCTCTTGGCTTCCCTCAGGGATCCCTTGCTGCAATCTGAAATACAGCTGGGCAAAATCTGAAATTCCAGCTGAGAAAAGTCTACCAGTGATTTCCCCAGCCTTGATTTCCATAACAGTGTCACAGAATGGTTTTGTTTGCAAGAGACCTTTAAAGATCATTTTGTCCAACCCATTTGCTTTGGGCAGGGAGGGGCTCACCTAAATCAGGTTGCTCAGAGCCATGTCCAACCTGACCTTGAACACTTCCAATGATGGGGCATCCACAACTTCTCTGACAAACCAGTGTCTCACCACCTTCATCACAAAAAATTTTCATCCTCGTATCTAGTCTAAATCTGCACTCTTAAAATTAAAAACCATTACCTCTTCTTGTATAGCAACAGTATCTGCTAAAAAGTCTGTCTTCATCTTTTTTATAAGCCCCTTCTAAGTATCGGAAGGCAGCTATGAGTTCTCCACAGAACCTTTTCCTCTCTAGGCTGAGCAATCCCAACTCTCTCAGCCTTTTCTCATAGGAGAGGTGCTCCACCCCTCTGATTATTTTTGTGGCCCTCCTCTGGACCCGCTACAACAAGTCCATGTCTTTCCTGTACTGAGGACTCCAGAGCTGGATGCAGTACTCCTGGTGGAGTCTTAACAGAAGAGTAGAGGAGGGTGAATCACCTGCCTCAATTTGCTGAACACACTGTTTTTTTGATGAGCCCAAAGAAAAGTTGGCTTTCTTGCTTCTGAGCACACATAACCACCTCATAGCTAATTTTTCATCCACCAATATGTCTCCAAGTCCATCTCCATAGGTCTGATCTCAATTTATTTCTCACACAGGCTGTATTGATACTGGTAATTAACCTGACCTATGTGCAGAACATTGCACTTGGTCTTTTTGAACTTTATGAAGTTCACGTGAGCCCACCTCTCACGTCTGTCAAGGTCTCTCTGGATGGCATCCAATCCCATCCATTCCCTCCTGTGTGGAAATCACGGCACACAGTTTTGTGCTGCCCAATACCAACCCCAAGGGACACCACTCATTACTGATCTCTATTTGAGCAGTATCCAAATGTAGATTAAACAGTGACACGGAAAATTCCTAGCCAATGGGACTCTTAGTTGACTATCCTGACTATCCTAACAGTTCTTGGCGTGTCTTTGACTAATCAAACTAGCACTTTTCCAAATAACTCAGTATGGAAATATCTAGAAATTAGCAATGAGTAAACTCTTCAGGAGGCAGTTTTTATTGTTCTAGTTGGCCTCAGTGCAGTGATTTGAGCATGTTTCATTTACTGCTACTTTTGTTGACTACACATATCCATTTGACTCAAATTCTTATAGATTTTCTCCTGTGATAAAGGCAGTTGATTTCCTTAAAAATATTCTAGTGAGCAGATCTGAACACATAGACTCAAGAAAGCCGTAACTTTGATCAAGAACAATGTCTGAATAGACTTCCATGTATCTTCAGAAGAAATTAATTAAATTCTCTCAAAGGCATATTTTAAAAATGATTCTCCCTCCAGCTCCTACAATAGATCTGTTTAGTTTCGTTTCATGCCAATGCAATGGCACCAGCACCATGCCTTCCAAGCTCTACTGCAGAATTTGGTGGGTAACTATTTTGCCAGTAGAATTTACCAAATATTTACTGTATTTTTAGAAGCTGTTGCTCAGATTAGACTGACTAGATTTATCTGGATGTACATATGACTCTGAGTCAGAACAGTTCTAAGAAGGAAATGTTTAACATAAACATTTTTAATTTCCTTTTAACAGACAGATTCTGTTTCTACTAATAAACAACATACTTCTTTGTTTCATAAGCATATAGTAATTATGTTAACCATGGTTACAGGATTTACCAGTGGAACTGTAAGTGTCTAATAACATATTGTAGAATGACAAAAAAAAATTCTTTATCTAGGTTTAAATTTTTGACCTACTAATTCCCATTTAAATTACTAAGTTATTTATAAAATTTCCATTCTTTCTAGTTGATTTATTTTTAATTGCATACATTATTTTATAGAGGCATGTGCAGTAGCATTTTGTTTTATTATTCTTTGTCACTGCAGTACAAAGTCTAACTTGGTAAAGGAGAGGAAATAGGTAATCATCTTTATAAATTACCTCCATGTCAGGGAAAGACTTTAGTTTTGTATTGTCAGGACAGTCAAAATAAGAGAAAGCAAAGACAAGCATGAGGACTTTCTACTCTTTTCCGGACTGAGTTTATCTCTTTTTCTCCATTCAAAGTGGTCTCAAAAGGCAGGAACTCCATGAAGCATAGCAAAGGAAATGCAAGTTTCCATACATGGAATGCAATAACCCCACGTGAGAGTAAAGGCTTGGAGCTGACTGATTAGAAAACAGCTTTGCATAAAAGGATCTAGTGGTCCTGGTAGACAAGAAATTGAATTCGAATCCACAGTGTATTCTTGCTGCAGTGAAGGCTAACTACTTGCTCTCATTTAGAAATTTAGAAAAAGCATTGGAGGCGCACAGCAAAAGGAAGAGAGATGACAGAAGAAAGTTAAAGCAAAGGAAAATTTAATTCTACCTAATTTTCATAATAAGGGTGGTCAAATGGTGGACCAAATTGCCCAGAGAAACTGTGGAAACTCCATTCTTGGAAATATACATTTACAATTACACTGAACAAAATTCTAGGCAACCTACTCTTACTGGGAATTAGATCAGGTTAGATCTAATTAATCTCTAAATGCTCTTAGCAGGTGTTTGGACCTCATTCCTCCTGAAGAGCTTTAAAGATCTATGAAGATCTTTATCTTCAGCAGTGACAGAGACAGTGGCATCAAGTGTATCCTCAGCAAGTTTGCAAATGACACTAAGGTGAATGGTGCAGTTGACACACTTGAAGGATGGGCTGCCATCCAAAGGGACCTGGGCAAACTTAAGAAGTGGACCCACAGGAATCTCATGAGGTTCAAAAAGGCCAAGTATAAAATTCTGTTCTGGGCTGGGGCAACCTCCAGTATCCATACAGGCTGGGGTATGAATGAATGGAGATTGGCCCTAGGGAGAAGGACTTGGGGGTGCTGGCAGATGAAAAGCTGGATATGAGAGAGAGCCAATTGTATCCTGGACTGCATCTAAAGAAATGTTGCCAGCAGGTTGATGGAGCTGATTCTTCCTCTCTACTCTGCTCTACCTGGAGCACCGTGTTCAGCTCTGAAGCTGCAGTGACAAAGACGAAGACCTGTTTTAGTAGGTCCTGGGGAGAGCTACAAATATGATCAGAAGGCTGGAGCATCTCTCTTATGAGGAAAGGCTGAGGTAGTTGGAGTTTTTAAGCCTGGAGAAAAGAAGGCTTTAGGGAGACCTTTTTGATGGCCTTTTAGTACTTAAAAGAGGTTTTTAAGAAAGATGGGGACAAACATTTTAGCAGGTCTTGTAGTATGACAAGGTGTTATAAACTTGGAGAGGGCAGATTTAGATTAATATAAAGAAGAAATTTTTTACCGTGAGAGTGGTGAAACACTGGCACAGACTGCCCAGAGAGGTGGTGGATGCCCCATCCCTAAAAACAGTCAAGGTCAGGTGGAATGGGGTTCTGAGCAATCTGATCCAGTTGTAGATGTCCCTGTTATTGCAGAAGAGTTGGACTAGATGACCTTTAAAGGTCCCTTCCAACCCAAACAAGTCTACGATTCTATGCATCTGTGAATCTGTGATTCAGTAATAAATGTAGACTATTCTAAGATTATTGTTTCTTAGACTTCATAATTATTTCTATTTTAGCAAAACAGTCACCTCAGCTTTTTCCGAAGGCTGAATGACCCTAGATTTTCCCCTGAAGTAATATTACTCTTTAATTTATTTTTCTCTTCTCAGGAGGAGGTAGTACTAATCCTCTGCTTGGGGACACTAATGTTGATTTAATGGTACAACTAAGAAAAAAAATAAGCAGGGTAAAAAGTTTCAAGTCAGAGAGATGTGACAAACATTCCAGGTATTCGAGGCAGTATTCTAGGACTTTGTTCTTTGCTAAGGTAGAGTAATAATAATTGAGCAACAGCACTGTTAGAATTAGTGTATAAGAGTAGTTGAGCAAATCTTTTTCTCATTCCTGTAGTTTAGGGTGGCATACACAACAAATTATCAAATGCACATAGTAAGTGAATGCCTCATATCTATGCTGCCTTAGAATTGAAATAAAGGCTCTTCAGATCCTTACAGGAGGGATTTAAAAAAAAAATTAAAGAAATGGAATGGGACTTTTAAAGAAATGGAACACAGAAATGCTAGATCATGATGTCAGGGAAAAAGCTTCAAATTTTTAAATTGAATTTACTCACTTAGCATCTTCTTTCCCATCTTGGAGTTGCTGCTTTTCCTGTTGAGTTGTCTTAGCTGGTTCAGTTGAGTTTTCGGTTTTTGAAGGCTCTGGTGCTTTTGCTGTTTCTGTAGCTAGAAAAAAGGTTTTACTTTTTTGAATAAAAATTTTTAAAGAATTATAATAATACTTTTGAAGGAATCGCATTCTGTCCAACATTTCTGCAGTGAACAAGCACTACATGACACTGCTTCTGGGACCTGACCTCTGAACAATTTCCTGCATAAATCTATTTCAAAGCCAGCTGTACAGAATACGTTCATGATAAATACACCTTTTCGAATATGTAATTTGCTTGTGGTTTTTAAATTAGGTGCATCAGTACCCAGCTCAACAATGGTCAATACAGAGCTCTTCTATATTTATGAGGGACAGGAACTCCTGTGGTATGATAAAATTTTAACATGTGCTTATTTATAAAAATTGTAGAGGACAGATGGATAGACCTGTCCAGAAATGTCTTGTGAAATACAGCAATAAAATGAAGAGTAGCTTTTGCTTATGCATAGAAATGCTAATGACATTATTTATACTGCAGGGTTTGAACTGCATTAAAAATGTTGTTGCTTCAGCTGCCATGACAGTCCCATTTGTTGCTGAGTAAATTATGATAGGAATATATCATTAAGCATGTGAGCATGTCATACTTTGGCTGGTCTATTTCTTCATTTCTGCTACTACTATGTTTTTTAAAGGAATCACAAGTAGGAAGCTTATAGAGTTTGAAACAAATGGTATAGTCTCTTGACATTTAAGTGGCCTTAAGTGATGTTTTTTTACAATTGATCCTATATCTGTGTTTTAAATTTTTATATTGAAAAATAATTTGATAGCTCTCATCAGTCTGACACTTTGTATAAAGGAGGGACAAGCTCAGCCTTCATAAATACTTTCATTACATGATTATAGAGGAAAAAGCTTGACAGCACAGCATCTCAGCAAATAAATCAGGAGCCTGTTGTGTATTCTGTATTTTAAGTTCAGTACATGTCAAAGAAAATCCAACCTTGACTATTTTGGATGGACAGTGTAAGATTACTCTTCTGATAGTTAAGCTCCGTATTTAGAGAGCTATTCATTTCAGAGGGGTAAAGGCAATTGTAACACTAAACTGTCAAGCTACTTAGCTCGAAGGTGGTTGCTTGAAATTTCATCGAAACAAAACTTTGTGAAGGACTGGGGGCCAGTTTGTTTACAGCACTTGATATACCAAACTACCCTCCTAATTCGAATTTGGGATCATAACTTCTTCCAGGCATCTATTAAGAACAGACACTATGTTTCTTGAGCTGAGTTTCAGACTTCTGCCACACAGACAATTGATTACAGGACCAATGGGGCATTTCTAGATTTATTTTCTTAGTATTTAGGTTAAGAAGCAAGAACATCATGTGTGAGCCCTGCTACTCTTACAGGAATTCATTTTTTTAACAGGACCAAAGGCAAGATCTAGACAGAAGTGTCTGTGGATGCTGGAATGCTCAGCCCACAGTCCAACAAGCAACTGAAGTGACAAAAAGAAATCCATGTCCCCCAATATGCTGGTTAACTGGGTTTTGACTAAGCAAGTTTAGGACTTAATTTTCATTTAGTCCCTTGGAGAAATGTAGCACTTCTGAGTATGAAGAGATAGTTTGCAGGATTTGTATCACTTAGGACCTGTGAAGTGGAAAGATTTTTTTGAGGAATTCCATTTAAAACTCTGACACACGATTGAATGTTATGGCTTGAAATGCAGATTATTGTTTCCTTTCTGCAGCAATCAGTATTGCAGTAGTATCTTGGGGAAAAGTCTGCTAAAATACGTCAGTAGGGAATGTTTCATGAATGTTACCTGAAGGATCTGCCAGTGAATTTTCAAGATACAGAATAGCATGCATTCAGGGAAATGAAGACTGCAAAGAGGACTGTTACTGCTCCTATCCGCAGGAAGTTTAAAGAAAACATGAAAGGGTTTCTAAACTTTTTTCAAAATTCTTTTCTGGGAGATCCAACCAAAAAGACTGTTTTTGTTGTTGTTTTTGTTTTGTTTTTTTTTTGGAAGGAGGAATTTTGAAGTGGGTTCAGACTTCTAACACAATGAATACATTCTCACAGTGAAATAAAATTTATTTCTCCTAGGTATTTCATGGTATCCTATGTAAGAAAATCACAGAGAAGCTGCAGTTACAGAAAATAAAGGGGATTGGACCTATTTATAACTGATTAATTTGTGAGTCTTGTTACTGAACCCTAACCTGTTAAATTTCTATTTAACCCTTTCAGGGGATCTCTACAAATCATGCTACTGACTGTGCTCTCCTTGGCACACAATCCTTCTGTGATTTTGTGATCAGTATGAGACGATGTAGAAAAGAAGATGAGAGCCAAAGATTTCAGTACTTGCTGCAGTTTCTGGTCCTTTCTAAATTCATGTCTCCCAGTTCTTCCTGCCATGACTCTGCCAGCCAAAAAGCCATGTACTCAATCAAGAGTGAAAGCAAGGCAAATCTCAACATTCCTGTAATCATCTCACTTTTGGGAATTTTCTTTGTTATAGTAGTTGCTTCTAGTTGCATCTGTACTAGTATAGAATACAACCTGATATGAATAATCAGAACAGTGAAATGGTGCTGAAGCGTGGCATCCAATTTGTATCTGTTAGATATAAATATCTGGCATATCTGGCAGACATATTTCAAATGAGGTCTATTGTGATCCTCTGAAATTAATGACAATCAGCAGTTTGAGTAAAGTAGTTTGACTCATGGTGTGTTTCCTCTGGTTTAGTTTTATTCTAAAGGATTCCACTTCCTAGAGGTTTTTTGGTGGAAAAAGCAGAGTACAGCAGGGTATAATCAGACTTTTTCAGAAGTATATTCTTAATTTGAAATAAAATGCCAGTGTAGGTATATTACTTAGTGTAATAGGCTCCTGAATAAGACAATCCTCTGGAATGACAATGTGTATGAGAAACAAAGACCTCAAAGTAAGAAATATATGGTGCTTGCACATAAAAATTCCATTGCAGAAGGGTTACAGCTTCTCAGCCTGCCAGATATTCTCAAGTAATTCAGTCTGATGTCTGAAGCCACACTGGCCATTAAATGCTGACTGGACTCAGACTGATGGAAAACCTTGTAATCCCATGAATATTCCAAACTTTTACATACAAAAATTCATAAGTTTCTAGGACCAGTACAAGATTTATTTATATTAAGATTAGAATAACATGGCCTAACACCACTGCCAGCTGTGTGCCAACTTTTAATTGCCTCTTTCTATGTGAAATTGTGAAGGCTACCTGCATAATCACATTTTAAAAAACCAGTTGCCTCTTCATGGTTTAAATCTAGCTTGTAGCCCTTCGACTTATGAGACCAGGCCCAAGAGAATACATTTAAGAACAGCATAGTAGTCATTTTAGGGAAAATTTAGCCAACAACAATTAAGTTTCCAGAATAGATAATGATCCAGCAGCTAGATGGTAGGCTTACAGGACAACAAAGGAATCTTCTGTTTGCTCTGCATAACTTTGGTCATTGCAAAGAAATCATGAGTGTGGAAAAAGAGGCAGAATCATGCCAAGGCACCAACACTGAAAGAGATTTTCAAAACATATAGACACATGCTTACTCAAAAAATTAACGGCCTTGAGTTTTTCTAAATTATTTCTATTCTCCTTATACTGGAATAAAGGTAGGTTAAGTTGCTAATGCATTAGTAGTAAGAGTTGAGGAATGCAGCTCACTGGTGTCTACATATTCTAGATTTTTGGCCTGCCCATAAGAATAATACATTTTAAAACTGAATTGGGTAAATGTTGATGGTTCTGTTTTAAAATGGAAAGGGAAAGTGACAGTTGTGGAAGTATTACTTTGTGGGCAAAACAATGCTTAATGGAATTCCTCAAAAAGATATCAGATTAAATTTAGAGGCCTGCTGAAACCTCGTCGTACCAGTGACCTGTCCAGGACAGCAAGGAATAAGGAACAAGACGCAAGTCATGAGACCTATTTGTTTAGCTTTTTTAGTCTTTCAGATTTTTCACATTTTTCACAGGTTTTGCTTCTTCCAGGAGAGAATTAGACCAGGAAAAAGAATCTTGTTCTTTGACCATGAATACTGTCATGGTTCTTCCAGCAATAGAGCATAAGATTTTTATTTTCTATCATAGTAAGTAGTTAGCAAAAAGAAGAGCTGACTAATTCATCATTTCTTCTACTTCCCAGTCCTATTTCTGCTGCTCCTGATGTTATTCGAAAGTCCTGGAATTGTAAAGGGTAATCACTACCTCACCATCCTGACTCCAAAGGTCAGTGTGGAGACTGAAGTGCTGAGATACCAACCTGTTTTTCAGAGCAAGAGAAGAGATTGCCTGAGCAAGCAGCTGTGAACAGCAGCAGGACGCTTAGAGATAGAAGAAAAAGCACTTTGCACTGTGAAGACCAGCAGTCCTACTGGTAATTCAGCATCAGTGTCCATGCCTGTGGAGCAGTCAGACAATCTGAAGGGACTTTCTTCCAGAAAAGTAATAAAACTCATAGATTTCTCAGTCACTAGACTGGCTTTAAAATTTCTATTTCTTGGGTCACTTATGTCCAGCACACATTTCACAGCCATAATAACTGGACTGTATCATCAGAAATGTATTCACCTTATTGCAAATAAAAAAGGAGAAAAGCAAAATGTCAATAAAAAAATTAGTTTTGAGCTATAAAGATATGAATAAATGTCTGCAGAAAGTAACCATTTGAGTCCAGAACAGAAAAAGTTCTTCCCTTCAGGATGGGAAGAATTTCTTCTCTGGAATTCCCAGCCAGCTCCATTGCCTTGTACTAACAGTCTGACCATAATCTTATCTATGCTTCCCCTCACATCTGTAGTGGTTGGGTATATGTGAAGGTAGAACTTGTCATGGCTAGCAATTACTTATATAAAAAGTAGAGTTCCCTGAGTTTCTTCTTTCCCTGTTCAAAAGCACATTTTAGCACAACCTGATAATTGGCTGACATAATCTCACTTCATTTTGAATCCACAAAATATTGTTTTACAGAATGATTTACAAAACCTTGACTCACTTGTATGTTTGTTT